CTCCAACCCACTGAACAAGCTCAGTCCACATTGGGTTGTTTTGAGTGGAGATCCCTCTCACCAGCTATTAGAGTTTTTCCCTTCAGTCAGGAGATGCTGTGTAATTGTCTAGTTCTACATACTTTGGGGCTCCCTCTTGTGAGCCAATGGTCCTATTTTGACTACAAAAAGATCCTCACTCTGACAGTGTGTTCAACGTAAGATGCTCATTGGGTGTCTTTTGGGAATTATCAGTATAGTGGAGTTCCAACCATGTCTTCCTCAGAAGCTAGCTCCACCAAACAGTGCACAGCATTTAATGTTCTCACCCTAAAGTGGCACACTTTTGCAGGGAAATGTTCAAGGAAACACAAGCATCAATCCATCCTTCAACCCTGCACATATGCAAAAAAACAAAAAAGCTAAAAAAGCAAAACACAAAGCAAAAGAAGAGCAAAAGAGACTTTGCTATGTGCTTGAGAAGAAACAGAGTTGTGGAACACACACTATTAATAATTGAAACTTGTAAATAAATAAAGCAACAAAGAGCTTACTGTCATTGAAATGATTAAGCGCCTTTGGTCTTTCCTAGCTCTGCTCAGCAGCTGCCTGGGAAAAGAAGCATTTCTAAACAAAGCGTTTCCTCCTTTTTGCTGCTGTACCCTCTGCCGTTGTGAAAATGCTGTCGTTAAGATTCTCCTCTATCTTTTGAAACTAGAAAAGGGGGGTATTTCTAGTTTTCTTCTTCTAAAGTTTCAAGCATACACACAGCATAGCTTGTTCGCAATATCATAGACATTACAAAGATATTACTGCCATTAAATTTGATTTTCTATATTTTTTAAAAAACGAGGTGTTCCATTGTCATTTTTAAAAAAAGTAGTAGTTTTAACATTTCTTTTAAACTCCAGGCTAACACCTGCAAGCTACATCTCCCTAGCCATAGTCAAGCGTCGTCATCCTGGGAAATAGTGACGAGTGGGGTGCCTCAGGGTTCTGTCCTGGTCCTGTTGTTGTTCAATATCTTTACTGAATGAAGGAACTGAGTGGACACTCATCAAATTTGCAGATGACATCAAACTGGAAGTCATAGCTAATGCTGCAGGAGAGAGAATCAGAATTCAAAGTGACCGTAACAGATTGGAGAACTAGGTCCAAGCTAACAAGATGAATTTCAATAGGGACAAATGTAAAGTTTTGCACTTAGGTAGGAAGAACCAAATGCACAAATATAAGATGGGGGACACTTGGCTTGCTAGCAGTACATGTGAAAAGGATCTAAGGGTCTTGGTGGACCAGAAGCTTTTTTTTTTATGATAATATTTTATTAGGGTTTCCAAAAAGTTAACAACCAACAGAAATCAACAAAAATCACGAAAACAGACAACAAACATCAAAAATCCAAACAAAAAAGCAGAAAAAGAAAAATACAAAAGAAGAAATTTAACATAAAAAGAACACTCTTTCATATTGATAACTTTCAAAACCTTATTCTCTTTACTTCCACCCGCCTTCCCTTCTTGTATTCTATTTTAAAAATTAGTTCAGCAAGATCATTGATTATTCATTTTAAACCTTTATCCCTTCCTTTATAATCTATTTATCTTAATCGCTAGAAACCCCTTCATTTCATTTTCAGAGCCCTCAGCATTCATAAATTTTACAGTATTTTTGTAGATAGACTTTAAACTTCTTCCAGTCCTCTTCCACCTGCTCCTCTCCTTGATCTCGGATTCTGCCAGTCATTTCTGCCAGTTCCATATAGTCTATTACTTGCATCTGCCATTCTTCCAAGGTGGGTAGATCTTGCGTCTTCCAATGCTTTGCAATAAGTATTCTTGCTGCTGCTGTAGCATACATGAAAAAGGTTCTGTCCTTCTTTGGCACCAATTGGCCGACTATGCCCAGGAGAAAGGCCTCTGGTTTCTTCAGAAAAGTATACTTAAATACCTTTTTCAGTTCATTATAGATCATTTCCCAGAACGCCTTAATCCTTGGGCACGTTTGGTGGACCACAAGCTTAACATGAGTCAACAGTGTGATGCAACAGGTCATTTTGAATTCTGAATATTTATTCTACAGCATTAGCTACCCTTCCCAGTTTGGTGTCACCTGCAAATTTGATGAGCATCCCCTCAGTTCCTTCATCCAAGCCGTTTTTGAAGATGTTGAACAACAACAGGCCCGTGACAGAACCCTTCAGCACCCCACTTGTCACTTATTCCCAGGATGGTGAGGAACCATGAATGAATACTCTTTGGGTTTGGTCTACCAACCAGCTACAAATCCACCTAACAGTTACCTCATTCAACCCACATTTTACCAGCTTCCTTGCAAAAATATCATGGGGGACTTAGTCAAAAGCCTTGCTTAAATCAAGATACACTATGTCCACAGCATTTCTCTGATCCACCAAGTTTGCAATTCCATTAAAAAAAAAAATACCATATTGGTCTGGCATGTCTTATTTTTGAGAAACGCATGCTGGGTTTTAGTAATCACAGTATCCTTTTCTAAATGCTCACAGACCTACTGTTGAATTATCTGTTCTAGGACCTTTCCTGGTATCAATATCAAGCTCACTGGTTGGTAGTTACCTGGGTCTTCCTTTTTGAAGATGGGGGCAACATTTGCCCACCTCTAGTCTGCAGGGTCCTCATCTGTTCTCTAAGAATTCTCAAAGATCATAGACAAAGGCTCTGAGATTGCTTCCACGAGGTCCTTTAGGACACTAGGATGCAGCTCATCAGGCCCTGGAGATCTGAATTTATTTGAAGTAGCTAGGTGTTCCCTTACTATCTCTTTTTCCTGGCCACAGCTCCCTCCTTACATTATTTATTCTGTTATCACTAGGCTGGTGAGAGGAAATATGAAAACCATCTTAAAATATCTCAAGGGCTGTCACATGGAAGAGGGAGCAAGCTTGTTTTCCCCTCCTCTGGAGGGTAAGACCCAAACTAGTCGCTTCAAGTTACGAGAGAGGAGATTCCCAACTAAACATCAGGGAAAAGTTTCTGATGGTAAGAGTTGTTGGACGGTGGATCTGACTCCCTCGGGAGGTTGTGGACTCTTCTTCCTTGGAGGTTTTTAAGCAGAGGTTGGGTGGCCACCTGTCATGGATGCTTTAGCTGAGATTCCTGCATTGCGGGGGATTGGACTAGATGACCCTTGGGGTCCTTTCCAACTCCGTTCTATGATACTATGTTTCTAAGACAGAGCTTGTTTTATTTGCATGGGTTTAAGCATTCCTGACTCTGAGCTGGACAGTGACCTTTCTTTTTGTCCCCATCTCCTATAAGTCATTAGCCACTTTTTCCTGTGTTCATCAAACATTCTTTACCTTACATTACCTTATGTCTTCAGGCTGTTGTGGAAAGCAGGTTTTTCATATTCAACTGCAATGGCCATGAAACCAAATTCTGGCTTACTAGAAATGTTTCTTGGGAGAAAAGTGTGATTGACAACTGTTCTAATTAGGCTCTACTGTCAGATAAGAGTTAACTTCATTTTATCTGATTGTTTAACAAAAAAAAAAGAGTTTTATGCAAAATATAATCTAACCATCACTTCCTGCTTCACTGATCTTTTGTAGTATTCTGTATGCCACCCTTCATTTGCATGCTGTCTTTTTCAGATTGGCAGCTCTTTGGGGCAGGGGCTTAGGGTCACATTAGTATCTGACCAACTGTCTGCCTGCCTGTCTGTAGCGAGAGCAACACAGCAATGCTGTAATGCAAATCCAGTCATGTGGATCTGAGGCCAGAACTAAGTTTACCTCTGCATTTTTGACTGGCGTTTGTGAGATAAAATCATCCAATAATTCATAAGTTTTAATGTAGAGATTCTGACAGATTTAATATCATCACTTGCTTTTATAGCACTTGTCCTAGGTACTCAAATTGCTTTGCATTCTGTGCATTTTCTCAGTGACCCTTACTACAATATGCTAAATCAAGCCAATATTATTAACCCACGAGGGACACTGAGTTTCAGAGAAAACATCCTGACTAAGGCCAGGCAATAAGTTAATTCCTCATGTCTGAACTAAGGTCTTCCCTGCCTCAGCCACACAGCAAGCGTACCAGATCTGTGGCACTGCCTTAAAACACACACACCACTTTCCCCTCCTCTTCCTACAATAATTTTCTTACAGTTGTATAAGTATTTCAGTTGCCCTTAAATCAATATTGCCTTTAAAAAACAAATCCAACTGAAAAGAAGTTCAAGACTGCAACCTGATTCAGACTAGATATAATTCCCTCCACATCAGAAACCTGCTTCCGAAAGATCACTTGGAATTGGTTACTATTGAAGCCCTCTAATGAATGTCTGTGCTGTTTAGGGGAACTGGCTTCCAGTCAGTTTCTGGACCCCCTTCAAAATTCCAGCATTTATAGGGGTGCCCTATCCCATTTTGCCACCTGAGCCCAAATAGGAATGTGCCAGCCACTGCCCCTTATGCCCTGCCACTGCCCCCCAACACTTCAGCCAGATGGGCGGGGTATAAATAACAAATTATTATTGTTGTTGTTGCTGTTGTTGTTTAGTCGTTTAGTTGTGTCCGACTCTTCGTGACCCGATGGACCAGAGCACACCAGGCACTTCTGTCTTCCACTGACTCCCGCAGTTTGGTCAAACTCATGCTGGTAGCTTCGAGAACACTGTCCAACCACCTCATCCTCCGTTGTCCCCTTCTCCTTGTGCCCTCCATCTTTCCCAACATCAGGGTCTTTTCCAGGGAGTCTTCTCTTCTCATGAGGTGGCCAAAGTATTGGAGCCTCAGCTTCACGATCTGTCCTTCCAGTGAGCACTCAGGGCTGATTTCCTTCAGAATGGATAGGTTTGATCTTCTTGCAGTCCATGGGACTCTCAAGAGCCTCCTCCAGCACCGTAATTCATGTGACATTTCAAACCTTTCAGCCCCATAATTTATGTGACATTTCAAACCTTTCTTACAGAGAAGAGAAGCTGCTATTTACACAAAGCCTCAAAACCCCCCACTATTCCTCTTCTCCCCTCAGCATCTCAACATGTTCTACAGTGTCACATACCGCTGGCAGCGCACCCAAAGGATCCAGTGAGGACCAATGGAAGCATCAACTGACAGCTGTTGTCGTGGGAAAGAAAGGTAGGTAGCGCTACAAGATCTTTCCGACCTCCTTAAGAAGACCAAGGAATATGTGAGTTACTCAAGGGAATCACTGCAGCCATGCAGGGATGTCAAAACCCTTCAGCCTGCCCCTTCCAAGCCCACCCCGCAAAGGGCCCAGTGGACAATCAGGCATCTGAGCGCATAAGTGATCTAGAGAACAGAGTTGGGCAATAGTACAGCAGATCCTAGCAGGCTTTGCAGTTGGCATGGATCAGCCGGTTGGTGCCAATTGTAAGCCTTGTTTTCGGCAGGAACTGGCTGCCCTCAGGAGTTTGCAATTGGGAAGAGGGCTGTTGCACCCGTGTGCTGCTTGCAGGCTATTCATAGGCATCTCGTTGGCCACGGCAAGAACAGAATGGTGGACCAGATTGGCTTATTGCAGTGGTGTCCAAACTTTTTTCAAAGAGGGCCAGATTTGATGAAGTGAAGGGCCGTGAGGGCCGACCAAAGGGCAACCTTTTTTTTAGGGTTGAAGTTCTTGAGCTTTTTTGTAGGATTTTACCCCAGGAAATAAACTGCCACAGGAGCTGAATTAAACCGATCGGCGGGTCAGATTAGGCCCCCGAAACGCACTTTGGACATGCCTGAGCCAACAGGGTTCTTTTAGGCTGCAGTCTATGTTATGTATTAAGATTAAGTTGCAGTTCTCACTCAGGGCCATCTACCCCCACACAACCAACATTGCACTTCCTATTGAGTCTGTGGCTCAAGCAGGCAAGCCTGAAGGTGCAATTAAATGTCATGTAAAGTGAAACTCCAAGGCTCCTGCTTAGAAAACACACTCAGGAATTCCAAGTCTACCCTGGCAGCCATATTGTCAGTCCAGGTCACAAAGTGTTCATGCCAAACCTGTGTGGCCAGAGTTATTCTTGAGCCTAGAAACACCTGAGCACCCAGGAAATGGTTCAGCCTGTAGCTTTAGTTGCTCACTACATGGAACAGCACACACAAGCCCCATCAAGTGTTTGTAATTTGTATCTGTGGAGAGGACATGGTCACCCAGGCGCCAGCACCCTGCAGGACCAGGGTCCCAACCACAGGGAGGGTTAGAAGTCAAAAAGGAGGGGGCACGTACTTGTCATTTTATTTTTATTTTCCCATAATGGTGACTGGGGAAGGCACACAGTGGGTTTGACTTTGAATCCAGAGGGAGACAGCCCTCCCCCTCCCCCCCCCAAGTGCTTAGGACAGAAAAAATGAGGTCCAAACAAATTTTGTGGTTGATGTACACCTTTATCCCCTCCATTGGTTTCCCTAAAGACTAAAAGGGTTGTGTGTGTGTGTGTGTGTGTGTGTGTGTGTGTGTTGTGTATTAAGATTAGTTGCAGTTCTCACTCAGAGCCACCAGTATGTAAATGAAGGATTGAAAACTGTCGCTCCTGATTGGTTAGCTAGTTGTGAGTTGCTACTGTTTCAAGTTACTTAGTAATATATAAAGCACCCAGCTAGGCTGCAGTCAGTCTGATTCCAGGAGCTGTGAATCCAACAGAGCTGTGTCCTTCGTCCATCTTTTCCACTATTCAACAGTCTAAACGGCTCAGGTGCCAGCCGTCTGAAAAGCCGTATTCCCTCCTACCAACCTGCCTGGGTTTTGAGCTCTTTGGGGAGGCCCTTCTCTCAGTTCCGCCTCCCTCACAGACATGCTTGAGGGGGCTGCTGCTCCCAGACTTTGGAGCCAGACTGGCTCCCTCCTTGCTGTTCTTCTGTCGGTAGGAGAAGACTTTCTTGTTCCAACCGGCTTTGGTGAATTGACTGCTTTGAAATAAAGGGCTGGTCTCTTGCTGTTTGATTGTAATTATATGTAAGTTTTTAAGCGAATTTATATAAGTATAGTTTTAGTTCTCTCCATGTTTAATTGTTTCTTAATGGTTGTTTTTTTCTATGTTTTTAGTGCGTCTTGTTTTTTATCTGTAAGTTGCCTAAAATCCAGTCAGGGGGGAAAGCGGGTTATGCATAAATATAATCATCACCATCACCGAAGCACTGCCATCAATAATAGACTGAAATATAAGCAATGTATTACTGAAATAATTCATGATAGTGAAGTTTATATTATAAGAACACATGTATTGTAAAACAGCTAATAAAAAGAAGTAAAAAACAAACATTGGGAAAGGAGGGATGGGAAGTCGAAAAGAAATTTATGTTGATTTTTTTGTATATGACATTAAATGTTTTGGAATACTATTAATAATAATAATAAAATAAATTAATAAATAATAAAAGTATAATAAAAATGAAAAAAGATAATGGGTTGCTTCTCTTAGCAGTAACTTCTCTAGGTTTCTTCTCAGCCACTTGTAGCGCTTCCCACATCCACTCTCTTCTGGCCGAAATTGGCGAGAGATGGGAACATCTTGCAAGGTGGTGGAAGTGGTGGGCTGGGGTCTTGTGCTTCTGCCACCTGAGGCAGGTGCTTCATCACGCCTCATTGGTGGGCCAGCTCTGGACATTTACACCCACCTGTCCTAGACCTGGCATCATATATAACATCAAATGCCATGCAGATATAGACAAATTTGGGCCCAAAAGGTGGTTGCAAGCAGCTGATCATCAATGCTTGCAGAAAGCTGTGTGCAGCACCTTGGAAGCCCAGTGGTCATTCCCTATGTGAGAATCTTTTGGAGGCCAAGTTTTTCTTACCTTCCCAGATATTTTATCAACCATGATTTTACTGCTTTTGAAGTTGAACTATTTCCCTGTGCCTTTTGGCTGTGTTTTCATGCAGCCTCTTAATGGGGTTATGGTGGTTTCGGTACCAGTCTATTTCTGTAATTACTGTTTTAATTTTGGAATTAAAGTTTAAATTGTGAACCTCCCCGGAGGAGATTGTTGGTTGGACATTATAGAAATGCCATAAATGAATACATAAAACAGTTACCCAAATATGCCCAAGTATAAGTTTCCTATATACAGTATATGCACAGGTCCGAAACTGTCAGTTTGCATTTCTTAGTGCAGAAAGTATTGATCTAATGTATAGATATCTTTCCTGTTCTAATTCATTCAAGAGGGTTTCAGGAAGCTACTAGAAGCTTCTCTGTGAGAGAGAAACAGAGGCAGAAGGATTAATGATTGTTTGGGTTATACTTTCTGGGAAGCTGGTGTAAACTAGTTTTCTTATCTCTATTCTGCAGAGTCCTGCTGACTATAAATATAGGCCTGAAGGAGCCTGGGTTCTACTTTCTCTTTCTCTTTCTTCCTTCTGGTGTGGTGATTCTGTATATAGGATGCTTAGTGCTAAGGTTTAGTCTTATTAGGAACGTTGGTGGCACTGTGGTCTAAACCACTGAGCCTCTTGAGCTTGCCCATCACAAGGTCGGCGGTTCGAATCCCAGCGATGGGGTGAGCTCCCGTTGCTTGGTCCCAGCTCCTGCCAACCTATCAGTTCGAAAGCACACCAAAAAGTGCAAGTAGATTAATAGGTACTGCTCCAGCGGGAAGGTAAACAGCATTTCCGTGCACTGCTCTGGTTCACCAGAAGCGGCTTAGTCATGCTGGCCACATGACCCGGGAAAACTGTATGTGGATAAACGCTGGCTCCCTCGGCCTATAGAGCAAGATGAGCACCAGAGTCGTATGCAACTGGACTTAACTGCCAGGGGCCCTTTACCTTCCCCCCCCTTTAAGCCTTATTATGAGTTAAGTTTATAAACGCTGCAAGTGGATTTTGTATGGACTGAACCATGGATTGAACCATCAGCTACATTTGCCTTAAAAGGTAAAGGTAAAGGTACCCCTGCCCGTACGGGCCAGTCTTGACAGACTCTAGGGTTGTGCGCCCATCTCACTCTATAGGCCAGGGGCCAGCGCTGTCCGGAGACACTTCCGGGTCACGTGGCCAGCGTGACATCGCTGCTCTGGCGAGCCAGAGCCGCACACAGAAACGCCGTTTACCTTCCCGCTAGTAAGCGGTCCCTATTTATCTACTTGCACCCGGGAGTGCTTTCGAACTGCTAGGTTGGCAGGCACATTTGCCTTAAGCACAAGTAAAAGCTCTGCTGGATGAAATATTGCCTCTGATCTATTTTGGGGAACTCTGCTGAACTTTACTATGGTGTTTTAAGTTTTTCCTCCACACCTATGACAGAAATAAGTGGTAATAGAACTAGCAGGGGATCACCACCCAGTTGTTACACGTGTGGGCTCTGTTCAGAAGTCAAGAAGTTACACTAAAGCCACAAACACGGCAGGCAGCCATAACTTACTACTCACTTGGCAAAATGCTGCGCACCAATATAACAGCATCTGGCAGGTTACAGTGCAAGGGGAGGAGGTAGCATTCAGTGATGGGCCATCCGTTGAGCTTGCCCACACATCACACAAAAGTGTTCTGGTTTTTGTTGTTGTTTGCTATTTCTGTATTATTTCACTATGAATATCTCGTTAAAGCAAGTTCAGTTTCTAGTTTGCAATATGAACTTCCTGGGGTGCCAATTAGAATGTAGTTAAAGGATGCATGACCCTCTCTCCCTTCCTCATAAATTATCCTCTGGGATCGTTGCCAAAAAGGAGAGGTCATGCAAGCTATGTCACTATTTTAAAGTGTGCTTTGCCGTAATGCCTTCCACTCAAATTTGTACAGAAACGAAGAGGTTTAGCACACACATGAAAAACCCTCAAAGCCCCTCTCACTTATAATTCTGTTGCTGTATCCCAACTCCTATAGAAAGCGTTCAGAGCTAGGGCATGAAGATAAAACTGTTTTCAAGGCAATTCACTTTGTTTTATTATTTGTTAAATAATATGGACAAATTCGGCTGCACCACTGGGGAATCAGAGATACTCCTTATTCCTATAAGCTCAGTGTTCTGACAGCTTTAAAAAGCATACTGTTATTTGTTTCTCAAACTCAGCTGAAGACCATTCTAAGCAGGGGGGCTTAAAATTAGTTGATTGTTCCACTTTTTCGTTGCTGATATTCCACTGTTCCCATATGCATTCAAAATGTAAATGAAGGTCTCACAATAGATAGG